GAAGCTTGGAGTCTGTCGAGAGATAGCCGGAATGGCTGTTTCCTCCACCTAGTCGGAGGAGGAGTTTGTTGGTTTTCCTCCTAGTGGGAAAACCAATTTGGGTTTGGTTTAAGAAGAACCAAACTTGGGCCTATTATAATCCATGAGATTGTTATTGGGCTAAGGGTTATGAGGGAGTATATATATAACTCCAAACCTAATTTTGGTGAAGTGAGAAAAAAATTGAAGAGAGGCAATTTTCGTAGGAGAAAAACAGTTTCGTTAGGGTTTGTTCAAGAGAACTTTTGGAGGCTTAAACGTGCTCCGATTTGGCTGAAATATTTGGGTTAGCTTCGTGACTCAATGGTCTTGATATTCAACGGTGGAGATTGAATTTCAACGGTTGGTTCGTTGCAGATCTGAGTTTTAGCGAGGCTGTTCGCTGCAGTTACTAGTTCAGATTTCAGACTGTGTTGTCTTGAGTGTTTGAGAAATCTGATAGTGAATTCTTCTTGGATTGAGCTGAAATTTGGCAGAGGTATTCCTTACTTGTTGATCTAGAATTTGTACGGTGGAGATCTGATTTGGTGACCGGAATCCTAGTGTAGGGTCTTTTGGGACTGCTTGTTTCTAGGCTCTTGTATTGCTCTCTTGTGGTGTTTCTTGTGTTGGAGATTGCTCTTTGGAACTTTAGTCTCTGGATCTGTTTTGTGGGAACATGGAGGACGTGGTTGTAACTCAAATTTGATATAGTGGATTTTTGAGTGGACTACGGTCCCGTGGTTTGTACTCCTCACATCGAGGAGGTTTTCCAGGTAAAATAATTCGTTATCTCATTTACTTTATTGCTTTGATTTGTTGCTGCCGTATTCTATATTTTTCTCACAGGTTCACATAAGTGTGGGGAAATTTATTCCGCTGCGCCATTGGTGTTTATTGTTTTTTCCCAACAGTCCAGTTAGCTCGAGCTCACAGAGCATATGATATGATCATTGTCTAGGTATTTAAAGACGCGCATCAGATGGTTGTGACTCGGGTGCCTCACCGATGGACGATTAACCGGTTTACTTGAAGTCATTGTGTTTGGATTTGATTGTTTGAGTAGAAAAAGAGTTTAGAAACAATGTAAATACCAAAATCTCTACAGGATTGTGATTTTTATTTTAGGCTAAATGGTTCTGTATGTATAACATATATATAAAGTAATAGAAAGTTGACCTACAAAATTTGGACACCGAACTATTATTAGATGGGAAATTTGCTAAATTGACTCAGTTTGAATTAGTGTTTTGCGAAATAACCTTTTTCTTATTTTTACCAACTTTTTCCTAAATTACCCTTTGATTAATTCCAAAAATTACAAATAAATGGTTTTTATAATTTTATAAAATTAAGAAAATACAAAAGA